CCCCCCGCCCCCCCATGCAAATGGGGAGAAGAGAGAAGGCCCCTGCTGGCCACATGGTGTCGCGGGGGGAGCAGAGAGATGGCATCACCAGATGGGAGCCCCTGCTATGAACCCCTCCTCCAGCCAATCCTCACTTTATCCTAGGCCCTCTGCTCTGAGCTCTCTTTCACCACCCATGCTGCCAGCCCGCTAGCCTCAAGGACCTAGGCAATGCCAGGTAAATTTTCTTGTATAAAATAATCTGAAGAATAAATGATGCAGTAATCAACTACAATACTAGAGTGAGCTGTTGATATTTAAATGCATAGAAAATGCCTGGGTTGTTTTAATGTGAGAGCTACATTATTGTATGTACTAGATTTACCTGGCATTACTCAGCTCCTGAATTGAAATAATTTTTGTTTTCAGTGCCCAGGGGTGGGGCTGTGGATGAGTTTGGTAGCAGGTTGCCCTAAGGAGAGAGGACAACCCCAGCCCTCTCTCACCACAGCAACTTGGGGCCAGGTGAGAAACACCTATCCATGGCTGCTGCAGCAGGCATAGCCTGGGGAGGGGTGCATACACACAAAACAGAAAAACTCTCTCAAATATATAGTAGATAGCTGTCCCTTTTTCCACCCCAGCCTCCTGCTGGCCCAATGGGGCTTCCTTGCTGCCCCCTTGTGGTCATTATACAATATAACTATTGTATGAGAAGAGGAAGCAGCATACCAAATTCGGTGGCCCTAGTATTTATGGTTTAGGAGCAATTCTTGAACAGACAAGAAACACTAACAGATAAACTTTCTCAAATATATAGTAGATATGTAGAAATTTACCATTGCACTAATAACCGATTTAGAACTAGACAGGAAGCTTCAATTTAAGCATTTATAAAACTTGTAATGCTAGAATACAAACTCAAATGCCTAGAGCTGAATAAAGGCCCTGTCATTGACTAGCATGAAAAGGAATAGTTGAGATAAGTTGGACCTGTGAACAAATTTTACCAAAACAAATTAAAATCAATAGATTTTATTTATTTGTGTGCATGCGTGTATAAAAATAAAATGAGATAAATAATATCATGATAAAATTATGACAAAGGATTTACTTTTCTTCATTTTTAAATGCTGTTCTTTATCTCCATTACAAAGGTGGTACTAGCCCTTTGGGAGCCATAAACAGGAATATTTCCTCTCCCCACACAACACCATAAAAAGTGAATGAGGAACCCATTTGAAGCTCTAAAGAAACAAAAGGTAGACCTAACACTCCCAAAACCAATATTTCCTAAAGAAAGACAATTATATTCTTATTAGAAAACACTGCTATACCTGTTTTAGCTTCATGTGGAAAGTTTCTGTGAAGGTTTTTCTGCTGAAATACCAGAAACGCTCATTGGCTGGGTACACACGAACAACAGTTTCCAGCAAAAAGCGGACTGGTTCTACCACTTCAGTGACCACCATATCCACTGCCACAGTCATGTACATACGTTTATCTGGAACACAACAATAAATTAATGTTTATAAACAGTCAATCTAAAAAAGAATCAATTTCTCAAGGTACTGAGTAGTTAAAAAAAAATCACAGGTTACTTAGGTTCACATCCCTGTTACCCACCAGCTCTGTGATTCTTGGGGAACCAGAACATGGTCACCTGTCAGCCTTGTGCTCTTGGGGATCTAGGGAGTGACATTAATGGAAAACCATCCCCCTCCCGCAGGCCTCTGCTAGAATCAGACAAAGCAATGAAAAGGCCGGGGGAAGACACACCTAAACTGCTTCAGACAAGGGTGATACAATTAAGGAAACACCCCAGCCTCATTTGCATTAAAGATGGAACAGAGGGACATCTCATTAGCATACAGAATGGAGAGCAGCTCTTCCAAGGCAGGAACCGCACTGAACTATGGGACACCGAAAGCAGAGAAGCACTGCCTGATGGGAAATCCCTGATTCCAGATGTAATGAACCCAGGCCTGCTCACACCCAAATTAGTCATTATCAGACCAATTCTAGTAACGATCCTATTGACATCCAAAATACTGAAACTGCCTAGTTGCATTGTGAGCTCGTTCAAGGAACATCACCCATAACCAGGGGTGATCAGTCTCTATTGTCTCTCCTCTTTCTCTTTGAACTATCCCTATAAAAACTCCTATCCTTGCCCCAAGAAAACTGTTCTGATACCTGGACTTAAACTGCATCAGTTCCATTGAGACTTCTTCATCTCCTGTCTGATCGTGCTGGGGGCTCTGTCCTGCTTTTCTCCTGCCCTCTGGACCCCCGGCTACCATCATCATCTGGGAACCCCGATCAGTGCAAGCTCCGTGGAGTGGTGAGATCTCTCTCTCTCTTTCTCTCTCTCAACTATCTCTCTAAGCATAGCCTCCTGACCCTGCCCTATGTAAACTGTTATATGGTTACCTAACATTTGTAATCAGTTTCAATTTAGATTTAATATTGTAATTGTTAAATTTAATATTGTAACTTTTTTATATCTATTCACTACTCAGAAATAAATCACTTTCATTGTTAAGCTGGTTGCTTCTCTCTCTTTCTTTCTCTTTTGCTCACTCTTCCTTAAGGGGTGTTGCTTCGGCTTCTCCATTCGCTCTGCAACAACACTTCTTGTACCCAAGCTAAAGATCCCTGTAGTGCCCAAAATCCTGTGGTTTGCTCACCATGTGGTTTACCAGTGAATGACTGTGGTGTGAAAGTGGGGATAGGGGGTGCTGAACCTGAGGGCTTATGAGGATGGCAGCTTAAAGTGCTGTTTAATCCAACCCACGGACTCCAAAGGCACATGAGGGTGCAGTGTGGCATTGCTGTTAAATCCAGCCAGCTGAGTCCAGGGACATCTAAGGGGGGTCAGCTTGTGAGTGCTGAGTACCCAGTCCTCTCAGACGTGCTCTGTTAGTGGGTGTGAGTGTCTGTGTGTGTTGCTAAGGTGGGAAGAACCCCATCCTGAGGAACCTAGTTCCTGCAGGAGAGCTCCAGTGGGAGGGGGAATTGGCAGCAGGGAGAATTCAGCTCCATATGAGAGCCCAAGTAAGCACCAACAGCACACTGATAGAACTGTTAACCTTCCCCCAGTCCCATAAGGGTAACCCTGATAAATATGTAGCATCCCTTCCTATAAATCTATTGACTCTGCAGCTCATATTTCATTTGTATATTATTTGAGTTTTAGATGTCACATATCCACATAGAATGAAATGCACAATGGCCATTGGGATATTCTCCTTTATATCAAATAATTCTGGTAGTTTTCTCACATAAGCGAGCATTTGCAAGAATGGACACAAAATGGCCCACATCAGGTGAGAAGTGGCAAGGATATAAAACTGTGGATCACAGCCATGGTCTGAGGTCAAATGACTGGAAAATTACATTGGGTCTGGTCACAAAGCTGAAAGTGCAATCTAATTCTGAAGGAGCGAGCTGTATTATAATCCAGATACTCAATGACAAGACATCCACAACATCATGCTCCATTTGTCCTAAGCCCTGTTGGCACTCTGGTAGAAAATGAGTGAATGGTATCTATTCCTTGTGAGTTAGAAATAAGACTTCTTAAGTAAGTCTTAGGTTTTTTTTTAAATCCAACATAAGAAAAAATATGCTATTCTTCAGTTCAATAATTATTCTGAGGTAGAACTGGGGATGAGGGGTTCGATATGCAGGATGCCTCAGGGAGAAAGGAAAACCTCAGGGCTCTCTCACTGTAGCAGTTTGGGGCCCGGTGAGAAGTGCCTCTCTATGGCTGCTGCACATGCAGCAAGAACAGCAGGGCTCGGAGGAATGTATAACCCCTGGCTGCAGAACAGACAGACACATAAGCATATAGACAAACTCTCTGAAGGATATAGTACAGGAGTGGGGAACCTAAGGCCTAGGGGCCACATGAGGCCCCCGGCTTGCTTGAATCCAGCCTCAGAGGCTCAGGTCCCTCTCCCAGTATTGGGGAGCCCGTGCTGGCGCTCCAGCCCCACACCACCATCCAGTCAGAGACCATGTCAATGAGGGGTTTGATGGTTTTTTTGCTTCTCACTTGTGTGCGGCCCCGTCTCATTTTTCTGAGAGTCACCAGCCCCGAACCCAAAAAAGGTTCCCTACCCATGGTATAGTAGATAGCTGTCCCTTTCTCTTCCTGCTGCTGCAATGTGGTTAAAGTTGTCTCAGTCCCCATATCTGGCCCCTGCTGCCTCTTCATGGTCATCAGTATAACTGTGCCTGCAAGCTGAGGCCTTCCTTTCCATTTTATGAGAAACAATTACATTCCAGGCACATCTTATTGTCCTGGCACAACCAAATCCTTGCCTTGCTTTAAGTTAGGATAAGAGGAAGCTGCATACTAAATTTGGTGCTCCTAGCTCTTATTGTTTAGGAGTTGTTCTTGGACAAACAGACAGAAAGGGAAACACACAAATGCTCTCAAATAAATAGCAGATTAATGTAATCAATACTAAGGATGTGAAAGATTAACTGGTAAGCATCACCTTTAATGGGTGATGCTTACCAGTTTTGGTTAACTGGTGGGGGCAGGAGCAGCTCCCCACCCATCATGGGGGGCTTCTGGAGCAGCCTCTGTCGCAGGCAGGGGCTAACTCCAGCTAGGCTGGAGTGGCCCCCCTTAACTGGTTAACCAGTTAAATCAAAGTAAATCACATGTTTAACCAGTTAACCAATTACACAGGATTTTACATCCCTAGTCAATATTCTGTTAAAGGACAAAATCAAGGTTAAAAAAAGGACAGGAGTTCCAGATTCAACCAAGCAGTAAAACAGGAACCATGCACAGTGAGGAAACGGCTCCTGAGTACTCTTGGGATTCAAAATTCTGATCTCCAGAGAAACATGCCAGTGACCTCAAACACTGCTAATTTACAGGGTTCTGACCTGGCAGCAAGAGCAGATGCCAGCATGAGCAATTCTTTATGTTATATGGGTTTGTACAGTTCCCCACTATAGTGATGTTGTGATACTGACTGAGGACTTGGGGTTACCATGATGTTTAATATTATACTCAAATATAAAGCATGGTCTCAGGAAGAGAAAGAAAGAGAACATTCATTAAATTAGGTTAAGTATTCTTTACCATATTTAATAATAACTAAGCAAGCAAGCAACCTTGTTAAAAAAACAGTTACCTTTAGGTGTTTCCTCATTAAGTACTAGAAAGATAGGTGCATTAGGATTCCACATTCCAGTAATAACATAAGCTTTCCCATCACAGCTCTTTCCCATGGACTCCTAAGAATAAACACATGTACTATTTACATTATAGAGCTACCTACATGCCAAGCAATACCAGAGGCCCAGTCGTGCTACAGATTGAACAGAAACAGTCTCCTACCCCAAAAAACTTAAAATCTAAACAGACAAGATGGACAAAATGAAGGATAGATGTAACATACAAGTAAAGTAAAAGCAGACTAGTTTGCAAACATTTCATTTATTTTCCTTTAGTTTGGTTACTTTTGTTTTGGGAGACCATGTTTCTGGCTTTACATTTTACTGTTTTGAAATGGGGGATTAGACAAACAATTAAAGGGAAAAGAGATGAGGAGGAGGTGAGAGGAGGAAAGGCAGACATGGTAGACAAGGTCAGTAGGGATATAATAGTGTAGCCGATTAAATGATAAGCTAAAGCTTATAGGTTATTACTACAGACTACATGCATTTTCCCCCACCAGTACATTTTTTAGTAGGCTGGCCAGCACCCCGGCTCAGGCTGGGACTGGGAGTTCAGTCCAACCCCCAGACAGGGGCAGCTACCACCTCATGCTGCTGCCTCTGACAGAGGCAGCAGAGTGGGGTGACAGGCAGACAGTCCACGAGGGGAGCTGGTTTTCAATCTGACTCCCTTCACGGACCAGCTACCGCCTGGCACCCCGCGTTGCTGACTGGGATACAAAAGCAACAGTGCAAAGTGCAAGGGGGCTCCTCAGAAGTGGGGCTGGAGCACAATGGCTGCTGGCCCACCCCCAGGGATTATAGAATAGTCGAGTAACCGATAATTTGTGAGGTTAACTGATTATTCAATTAACCGATATTTAACATCCCTACAAGGTCAGAGGAGAACAAGCCTATAAGCATAGAGAAGAAAGCACTTAGTATAAAAACTAGAAAAAAAATCTGAGGACCTCATCAACACCCACGTTTTCAGGGAAAAGGGAAGCAGAAATCTCTCTCAGTGCAGCTGTACCTGTTACATCTGCTTTGGTGTTTGCTGCTGGCAGATAGATTTGTATATGCCACCACTAAAGTAGATTTCTTTGAGAATTAAAACTTTGAGGGGCCAAATTTCAGAGCAATGTGCAGAAACATCCAAAACAGTCCTTTCCCGCATGTATATGCATGCATTAAAATCTTTGTTAATATCTCTCTATGTCTAGGTATACTTAATTCTGCCTTGGAGCGGGCAGACTCCTCTTGAGGGTCATTCCAGCCCTATACATTTCTGTAAGTATGCCCAATATTTGCATATTTTGTGTTTGGCTCAAGCTAGTATCATGTACTCTCTGTCATTTGGATGATTTTTTTTTTAAAAGAAAAAATATATTTATAGCAGAACTCTCATTAGGAAAAAACCTGTTGCATCAGGACAGGAAGCAGAATTCTTTAAAGTGACTGAGGGATTTGGATGTCAGTAAAGACAACAGGTGGTAGAGATCCCATCAGGGTGCATAACTCTGATCTTCATAGAGAGTAAAGCACATCCTCAACATCTGAGCCAAATCCAACCCCTAGAAACATGCCAACATTCTGAAGTGTCTTTCACTGCACTGACGTGTCTTTTTGACTTGCTGGCATGGGACATTGTAGTACTCTTTGAAGATGTCAGTGCAACACTGGAAATTTTCAACTTGAGCCAGAACTCATATGAGGAAGATAATTTTTTCCACAAAAAAGAAACAATGTTTTCCTGACTTCCAAAAATTATTTTCCAATGAAGTCTTCATGAATTATCTTTCATTCTTAGAGGGGTATTTAGTCAGGAACTAGCATTCTTGTTCCTTGACTGCTAGAGGAGACAACGCAAAATAATGTAATGCCTTCAATATTTATTGCCTGCGATGAAACACATCAGGATTGAATAGCCCTGATTATCCCATTTTTTCACCTTACAGAGGAAACCAAAGGGACATAAAAGGACTGGGAGTAAATCTAGGTTATTGCACTGATATGCTTAAGTTAAGCTCTTCTAGAAGAGGCTGAAGTTGCAATATTGTAGAATAGTAACCAAAAAAAAAAAATTGAAGTATTACAGAAACTTTTAACTGAAGTCGCAATATTGTAGAATACTAACCAAAAAAAAAATTGAAGTATTACAGAAACTTTTAACTTGGGATTCGTATTTAACCTATAAACAACTCATTATGGAGTGTGCAACGGAAAAGTTTAAAGTGGGAAAAGTTCAACTAGCAGTTAAGAGCAATGGACAACATTTTAAGTTGTAATGAAGCAACGAGAAGCTGAACGTTTCTGAGCAGATTCTAGAAGAATCCAGGTGATTTATTTAAATGTTCAACTATGAATGAACAAGGCTAAAAGGGGTAAAAAAAGAAGGGTGATGTAATGCTAGGGGTCTACTACAGGCCACCTACCCAGGTAGAAAAGGTGGATAAGGCTTTTTTTAAACAACTAACAAAATCATCCTAAGCACAGGATTTGGTGGTGATGGGGGACTTCAACTCTTCAGACATAGGTTGGGAAACTAACACAGCGGGGCACAGACTATCGAATAAGTTCCTGAACTGCACTGAAGACAACTTTTTATTTTAGAAGACGAAAAAGCAACTAGGGGAGAAGCTGTTCTAAATTTGATTTTAACAAATAGGGAGGAACTGGTTTAGAATTTTAAAGTGGAAGGCAGCTTGGGTGAAAGTGATCATGAAATCATAAGAGTCCATGATTCTAAGGAATGGTAGAAGGGAGAACAGCAAAATAGAGACAATGGATTTCAGGAAGACAGATTTTGGTAAGTTCAGAGAGTTGGTAGCTAAGGTCCCAGCTAAGTTCAGAGAGCTGGTAGCTAAGGGAAGCAAAACTAAGGGGAGAAACAACTGAAGAGAGTTGGCAGTTTCTCAAAGGGACATTATTAAGGGCCCAAAAGCAAGCTATTCCACTGTGTAGGTAAGATAGAAAGTATGGCAAAACACTGCCTTGGCTTAACCAGGAGATCTGCATGACCTAAAAATAAAAAAGGAGTCATATAAAAAATGGAAACTAGTACAAACTACAAAGGATGAAGATAAGCAAACAATACAGGTATGCAGGGTCAAGATTAGAAAGGCAAAGGTACAAAATAAGCTCAAACTAGCTACAGACAGAAAGGGAAACAAGACAACGTTCTATAAATATATTAGAAGCAAGAGGAAGACAAAGGACAGGATAGGCCCACGGCTCAGTGAGGAGGGAGAAACAATGAAGTAAATGTAAAGTAATGCACATTGGAAAAAATAACCCCAACTATACATATACAGTAAACTTCCGATAATCCGGCACCTTTAGGACCCAGCGGGTGCTGGATTATCAGATATAGGAAGGGGGGGGCTATGAGGAGTCTGGGGTGGGGTGGAGTGGGGGGCATGCGCCCCTCGGTGCTAGGGGACCAACCCAGCAGCTCCCCAGCTGCTCTGCCCCTGAGTTCCCCAAGTCAGCAACTGCTGAAACTGACCAGTGGCTGACTCCGGGAAGCCTGGGGAAGAGTATGCTGTGCCCCAGGCTTCCCCAAGCCAGCCGCTGGTCAGTTTCAGCAGCGGCTGCATTGGGGAAGGTGG